CTCCCAGACTAATCTTACCTCCACCAATCAGTCTCTAACCACTACAGCCTCCCACCAATCAGCCCCCAGACTAATCTTTCCTCCACCAATCAGCACCAGGTTAATCCCTCCTCCCTGGAATTCCCCTAACTCTGCTTAAAAGGAACTTGTGACCTTCTTTTGGGGGTCACTATTTGCCACATCAACATGTTGAAAATAAACGCTCTTGCTAAATTGCATACGTGGCTGTTGGTCTTTCTTGGGGTCTTCTCTCTGACCCTAACAATAGCAGTGGTCCTAGGTAAGATCCAGGAAATCACAGCTCTGGGTATCAACCTTTTCCTTTTCCTGACTTCTATACATAACCAGTTCCTGCAGATGAAAGGGAACCTGGGGTGAAAAGGTTTTGCTCATATACCTACTTCTTAGGAGGGAGGAGAGGCATCTCACGGGGTCCCCTTTATAAACCATTAGCCCACACTGGTCTATATGCCTTTCTCCAGACCACCCACTTCCTTCCTTGAGATCAAAAGGTCTCCAGGATTTTGTTGGGGAGGAAAAAAAAGTGGGTTTTTGAGTAGGCAACCAATGACCTCTGCCACACCAGACTGAAGTTCTACCTCATCACATGTGTAAGAATTTGACAACCAACCAGAACATAGCAAGATAAAGAACTTGACAACCAACCAGAACATAGCAAGATAAAGGGGCCGGAAGAAGCCCAGTACGGGAGACAAGTGTGAGGGATGAGACCGGCAGCAAACAGAGCCTGAACAGCCCTGTATGGCATCCTAAGGAGTTTCCATGGACCCCGAAGATGAAGGGGACTCCACAGGGAATTTAGACAGGTCAAAGGTCTGTGATGACTGCTTAGAAAAGTCATCCTGACACCTCCATTAAGACTATTTGAAGACAAGAAGGATGAGAGGCGATGCTGTGGAGGGGAAGAGAGGAATGATGGTGTCTGGGTCGCCCAGAGGATGGGGATGGAGAGAAGGAGACTGCCATTGTAGGAGGTCAAATCTCGATGATGGATTCAGAAGCGAGGGTCCAGGAACTGAAGACCATTATGGATAAACAGTATCTGGGTTTCCACTAGTAAACACATCAGCGTGGCTGCTGAGCCATGAGCGGCATTGCAGGCCTACAGTCTTGTGTTCACAGGCTGGATGGGAGACTGTGAGTTCATAGCCAGTCCAGGCTCCTGATGCTGAATTGACAAAAATGACCAAGGTGGGGGGGAGGAGAAAGAAAAAAGAAAACCATCAAATCTGCTTTTAAATTTGAATTTTATTTATACCTGTTATATATGTGTATGTATGCCCATATGGGCTCATACCCCCAATGAGTCTGTCATAATTTGAAAATATTGGAGTCAAGTGCATTTAACACAGGTCAGTGATCAAATATACCAGCTTAGCAATACAGCACACTGTGGATGGTCTGTTGTCTATCTCCCAATCATAACGCTGAATGAAAGTGGTGGCTTGAAGCTGCCTGGCACCAGGAGAGAAATGTGCCCCTTGTTACTAACCCAGGAATAAAACCAAAATTCCCAAGCTTGCAGCATGCTTATTCTGAGTGCATGGTATAGCCCACCACTGTACATTGAATTTGTAAGTCAAGAACTGTTTATAAAGAAATTCCATTAACTTATAGTAAAAATCCACTGTCCTTTGTCTCAATACCTCCAACAGTGCATGCAGCTTGATCAAGTTGTCTACCTAATCTCTGAGTTGTTTCTTCTGATGTTTGTCTTCATGCATCTAACAAATAACAATTGTTCTATTATTTCTTAACCTCTAAGGAAGGTAGAACTTGGGTTTCTTCCTAGTGTCACTTCACTTTCCCCTACAAATAAACAAGAGTTCCCTCCTCTGAGCTTGTTGGTATCAGTAGGTATCAGAAATGGGTTTGAAATGCTATCCAGCATTTGTTTTATGGTGGTCATGTGAATGCTCTTAAATGAGACATTTAGAACCAAAGGTTTACAGGTCTATTCTCATACAAATGTGTGTGTGTGTGTGTGTGTGTGTGTGTGTGTGTGTGTGTGTGTGTGTGTGTGGAGAGAGAGAGAGAGAGAGAGAGAGAGAGAGAGAGAGAGAGAGAGAGAGAGATTGAAGTCAGTGTCTTGTGCCCAACAGGACAAGCTCTTTCCCACTGAACTTTAACCCCAGCCCTGTTCCAGCTCACTGATAGCAAACTGCCAACTTTCCCATGAACCAAAGCAAAGCACTGTACAATTCTTCACTAAATACATAAATATTCGTTCACTATATTTCAGAATACTGTCTTGTCCTGCAGCCTTCAGCTTCCTGTTCCCCTGTGTACAGGCTGCTCTCTGGGCTCTTGTGTTTGTGTAGCTGTTTCTATTGAACAGATCACCCTAAGATTTGGGGCTTAGAAACAGCAGTCAGCTATTCAGCTCACAGTTCTTCAGGTTGGCCAGCTGGGCTGGTCCTCCTTGTTTGGGCTAGATTTCTACAGCTGTCTTCAGTAAACTGACCTCAGTTATGTGGCTCTCAAGAATAGAGGAGCAGTCAGCTCTTAGCTCCTAGCCACCACCATTTCTCATGTTTTTGTACCTTCCGGTGGGTCATCTCAGAGCTTATGGTGGTGACACAGAGAAGGGAAGGAGAAAATATCCAAGGTCCAGGACTGAGACTAGAGTTGCAACTACCTTCTTCCAGTCACATTCTACTGGCCAAAGAAGGCACACACCAGTCAAGAAGCAAGGGGTTCGAAAGCAGATTTCATGCCTTTAAAGTAAAATGTTATTCTTTATTATGTGTGTGTGTGTGCATGCATATAGATGCTTGTGGGGGGCAAGTGCAGCCCACATGTAGTCATAAGAGGGCAACTTGTGGGAGGTGGTTCTCTCCTTCCACCACAGGGGTTGTAGGGATTGAACTCAGATCATCAGGCTTGGCAGTAGGTGCCTTTACCTGCTCAGCCATCTTGGGGACCCAGATTCCCTCTCCTGATGGAAGAATTAAAAAGTCACTCTGCAAAGAACACAAATACAAGA